CAGCATAAATTATCCATATACAGGAATCGAGTTTAAGGGAAAACCAGGACAATTTATAGAAGGAGAAAGAATCATACCTCTCCAAATGCCAATACAAATGTCACAGAGAGAATAATAGCAAGATACTGATTAAAAAGTTTATCCAAGTATATAGGAAGTGCCTGCAGATAGCAAATGCGAAAACAGTAAAAAAGCTATACCAACAACGAATACATTGAGGAGAAACATTTGACTGACAAATCTAAATATGAAAAAAATCTCATATATATAAATCCCAAAATTTCGAATACGTGTTTCTCCACCTAAAGTTCAACCTCATTTCAAAAGAAATGGAGAACGTTCCTGTTTTGTATTCACTATCAAAAAGAGTTCAGGATCCAATCAATTCAATTACCTCCATTGCAACGGCATTACATAATAGCAATGTAACAAGAAGCTGGTGCTGCTTTTGAACCACTGGTAGTATAGCCGCTGAAAGTAAACAATCACAATTCGTAACAAGTTAAAATAGCACACAATTGTAATTGTAAGCAACAAAACGATGCAAGCTACTAGAACACGCATGAATCCACTCCATACAAACACACACACAGACACGCATATGTCTTAAATTTCTTTTCACTAAGAATCGAACAGAATCGCAGTGGAATAGGCAGTCGAAGAATCAGAACCACAAATTGAAACCTAACCAGCTTGTTTCTTCTCCTCGGTGGTGCCACTGCGTTGAAGAATTTCGAGGTCGACAAGGCCGAGAGACATAAGGCCAAGGGTCAAACCAGACATAATACCGGCGAATAGAACAAGGACACAAGAGATCCCGGCGTAGGTGATCCACAACAACGATCCGAATGGAATTTCGCCGGCTTCCGATTCAAGACCCGGATTCCGAGTGAGCATTCGAGTCAACATCACCGCATTTAAGAAATGCATCGTTAATCCTATACTGATTCTCCTTCTTCCTCCTTTCTTCTCTCTGTACCAGCACCGTAATATCTCTCCCGCTCTCTCTCTCTCTCTTCTCTGCGCTTCCCGGCGGACCAGTTCCGGGATGGTTGATTTTCTGGTAGCGGCTGTACTTTGCTTATTTCGTTTGGTCTCGATAGATGGAATAGATGTCAGTCCTTTTTTCCTTTTCCTTCCAAATATATATCCAATTTTTTTTTTATTGTTTAAAATATATACACACACACACACACACATATATATATATATATATATCAAAACTCAGCTTATTTATAAATTATCAATTATTTTTTAAAATTAATATTTTTTTTTAGAAAAAAAATTAAGCTCAAATAAAAATAAATAGAAAATTTAGTCATAATAGAAATTGAAATAAAGGGATGAGGAAGGCTTCTTTGTTCTCGTCTCTCCACGTAAACATATCTATTTTACACGTAATTATTGAATTTAAGCTATTTTTATAGTTTATTTAATAGAGTTATAATTTTGTTGACACCCGACCTTATTTTGTTGACAACGTATTGAGATTTTTAATCTAGCATTTATTATTTAAAAGGTTTTTCAATTTAAATTATTTTAGGTTGAAAATGTTAAAATTAGTTTACATCTAATTCTCTAATAATTTCATAATTTTTGTGTCATTTAAATTCAAATCAATCAATTTCAATATTATTTAAAAAATAAGAAAATAAATTGAAAAATTTTAATAAATTAGATACTAAATTGACTTTCTTTTTGGTAGGAAAAGAACGTGCCCTTTCTCGAAAATACTCATGTATATTTAACTATACTTTTTAAAAGTTGACATAAAATACATCTTTTAGAATAAGACGTTCGCCTTAAAAGAAATGGCTCTCTTAATTACCTTGCGCCTTAGAACAATTCAAGCTCATCGTTGTTAGCTTCACAGTTCTAAAACGTGTCTATTAAGAAGAGGTTTTTATATCTTCATAAGGAATGTTTCGTTCACCTCTCAAACCAATGTGAGATTTTACAAAATATCTCCCTAGTAGACACATTTTAATACGTAATGGGTCAAAGCAGACAATATCTATTAGTGGTGGGCTTAAGTTGTTACAAATAGTATCATAGCCAAGTTACGGACGGTGTGCCAGCGATGACATTGGGACCCTAGGGGGTGAATTGTTAGGTCTTACATCGGTTGGAGAGAGGAAATAAACATTTGTTATGAGTATGTGGAAACCTCTTTCTAACAAACACGTTTTAAAACAATAAAATTGATGACAATATACGTAACGTGTCAAAACAAACAACCCAAGAAGTTGGGGAAGGCATCTAAGTGCTCAGCCAATCTCTAGACCATACCGGTTAGAGACCAGGTTATATATATATATATATATATATATCTCTGACTCGAGTCCCATGTATACTCTTCTTTGCTCACAAGCCAAGAAGTTAGAGAAAGTACCTCGAGTGTTGGATCAATTTTTGTGCGGATCGGAACGGTGTGATGAGAATATTAAAACTAATTAAATTAAATTGTTTAGTCTTAGTTATTATTCAAATTTTAAGAGATGGGTATATGTGCACACTCATATTTTTATTTATTATATATATTTTTTACTTTTTCTTTTATATGTAGTTGTGTGGTGGGTTACCGAAGGGAACGGTGAAGCCACGTCGTTGGGATCGTGGCGGTTCTGGAAACGCTAACCAATAGGGACAGTGAACGGTACGGCTCCATATAAAGGCTTACACGTGGGCAGATAATAAGCCGGGATCAGCATCGAGGTAATGACGTGGACAAAAATAAGACGGGTCTACCGTAATATTAAATGAAGCCTACCTTAGGGGATTTTTCATCAAACGGATACGGATAATAAATGGTTAAAAAAGACGGTGAATTATTGAAATTGGCTTTACCCTCTCTGTAATATCTCTTGTTAAAAATAAAAATAAAAACAAAAAATATGGGAAAATTTCACAAAACTCCAAAAAACTGCCTAAGATTGTTCAAGAACAGTATCATGAGGGTACTTTTGGCAACTGATCCAGCTATGAAAGCACCCAACAAAAAATAAAAAATAAAAAAAAATAAAAAAAATATTAAATCAGTGAACGGAGACGGATTGCACGGACCCGAATGTGAAAATGTCGGGTTGATCGTGTTTATGTTGATTGGATGAGATACAATACGAGTGGCTGGAGGAACAGTAGTGAAAACGAGGCAGTGGATCGATTTTCTATGAATCAAGTCTTTGGTTTCCTGTTTCATTCCTAAACATTCATGAGTGGCATTTTTGTCATTTCATTAATATTGTGAGTGGTCGTTAACTTTGTCTAAAAGGAAGCATATATGGTGACAGAGGATGATTGAAGCATTTTCGAGACATAACAAGAGTTAGGTTCAAGTGAGTGAAAGTCCCGAGTGTCTTTGACTTTAGGTCAAACAAGATATTGACTCCGCTATTATTTCCTGTTCTCCTAGTGCTACCTTCTTTCCTTTTGAATATGTCTCATTGACCTATAATTCTCAAGCCACATTGTAGATACAAATAACACGACCATCTAATACATCGATTTTAGGACAACAATTTTGTCAAAGGGTATTTTAGTCATTTTGTAGATTTGAATTAATAATTAAATATATCGATGGGTCATTTTTTCTATTAACAAAGACATTTTGCTATTTGTCAAAATTCACATTTAAATTTTGTTATTTGTCTTGTTATCCCAAAAAAGAGCGAATGACCACACTGCCCCTTCCGTCTTCAAAGTTTTACAAACTGGACCGTGTAGATGGGCTAATCTTATAATGGGCCAAAATGGAAACTGCATTATGGGCCGCAATACACAAAATCACGGCCCACAATCCCAAATTTACGCTGGATTTTAATTATTTCCATTTTTAGGGTAAACTACATATATGTCCCTTAGAATCCTATTTTAGTTTTTCATTTTTATAAATAGAGATATTTGATAACAAATTTTTTTTTTGTTTCTTTGTTCTTAAAAAAAAAAAAAATCAAAATTAATTAAATAAAATTATTCTTTCCAAAATCATGCAAATCAATAAAAATAAATTTTATTGATTTTTCTAGACCAATAAATTAAAAATAAACCAATTAAAATAAAAATGGTCGGAAAGAAAATTCTAGTATCTGTTGAAGGGAAGAGGCATTAAAAAAAGAACAATATTTAATTTCCATAAATAAAAGGCAGAATATAAATAAATAATTTTAAATTTGGAAGGGGGGAATATTGACTAAAATAATACCAAAATTCTGAAAATGGAAAGGCCAGTGGGTGTAATAAAGAGCTGTATATTCTTATTTCCAACGTGACAGAATTTTCTTATCTTGATAAGATAAAATATACCCAGTAACTATATAATTAAATAATAATAATAATAATAACTAAGTAATGAGTGGGTTAACACTTTCAAGCAATATGGTTGTGCGGTTACCAATTTATGATGTGTGTATAAAATACCATATTATAAAATATAATATATGTTCGTTATGTGACTAATTATTATTATATCATAATCCTTCATTTGCTCGTTATTAAGATGGAATCAAGACTTTGGAATACCTTTTAACCTTACCTGGCTACTAAATAATAATAATAATAATAAATTAATTTAGAAATTGAGAAATCTTTTAGATTTACTGGAAATTCAGATGGGTTAGTTGTTGACTCTACAAGTAAGGTAGAATTGGGTGGAGTTGACTTTTGACTTTATGGTCGAGTTGACTCAACCAAGAAAATGTCAATCCACGAATCGATTTTTTTTTTTTAACCCAACCCAATTTGTATGGTTTGAGTTGATTAGTCTAGATTAGTGGGGCTCTTGTGTCATCTGAACACTCGATAGTCAATATTTGATATTTAAAGTCAATTAAAAAATTAATAGTCGATTCACGTACTTATTGAATACATTACATTTAAAAATCCAATATTTTTATCATTTAATTACAATATTTGCAAAAGAAAATCACCAAATGAGCAAAAAAAAAAAAAAAAAAATATATATATATATATATATATATATATTATTCCAATCGTTCATACCCATCAAGACACGTGGACATACAATTATCATGCACGTGGGAAAAATTACAGAGAGTAGGGCGCACTTGCAGATGCTCTGTCATTTAATTTATTTAACTATTAATAATAATACTAAACTAACGATAAAAATCCATCAAAGTCGTCTTGTCGTTGCCACGTGTCATCATCTGGACGAGTTTACTTTTTAGAAGATTCACCGAGTGGCGCCGGCAACGACCGCCATTGGGATTTTGGCGGCTAAGGAACAACTATTTTCACAGAGGAATTGGTCTACGATTATGGAGCTCGGCTCCGCCACGAGCGCCTCCCAAGCATGTTCGGAATATTCTCCACCACCGTGCTGTAAGAAGACTTCGGTGGCGTCGATACGGTGGAGATTCCATCCCCATTTGCTTTGGAGGTGGTGAATCTTCTGTCGTTGTCGGAGTGCCAATTTTATTGAATTTTCTTTAATTTTCAAAATCGCCGCCTGAAGAATCTGTGACCGGGCTTTGTTATCGGTGGCCGAATCCATCTCGGCACGTAGAAATGCGTCGAGTTCAGGCACTCCAATGGCGCGTCGAATCCCACGCGTGTAATCATTCCCTTTTGGGTCAAACAAATTCCGTACTTCGTTAACTAACCCATTGTCCAACATCCGATCGACACGGTCTGACACGAATGAGTGAAGAACCGGTAACGATACATCGACCCATAGGAAGCAACAGTCATACCGGTAACGAAACTCAGCCTCACCGTCAACGAGAGATTCGATGAAGGAGTTGGAGCCACCAGCAATAATGGGGAGGCGGTGTTTTCCGACGATAGAGTTGATAGCCAACGAGGCATGGCGGCAAAAGTCTGTGGCAGTGAAGTTGGAGTTTGGATCAACAATTCCAAGGAGGTGATGTGGGACCCCACAACATTCTTTCTCAGTGACCTTATTGGTGAGGATTTCAAGTCCTTTGTAAATTTGGATCTTGTCGGAGTTTATAATCTCAGCTGGAAAACGATTGGCTAACTCAATTGCCAACCGGGATTTCCCGGTGCCGGTCGCTCCCATTACGAACACTAATTTATCTTTTCGCCGGAAAAAAGGCTTCAAATTGAGTATGTTTGTGCCTTGAAAGTTTACTAACGGCGACTCCGTCGCAGCTTGCTTGCAACTCGCAGAGAGGGAAAATTTCATTCTCTCCGACCAATCCTGCAAAAGTTTACCCTTAATTTAATTAATTTTTTAAACACCCTTTAAAAATAATTTTAAGACGAGAAAAATAGGTATTATAACTTAATTTCAAATATATATATATATATATATATATAGCAATTAAATAAATAATGTCATTAATGAAAATGTTACCTAAACAAATAGGAAGTTTCAATAGCTTCGGAGAATTAAAGCTTACCTTCTTAAGAGCGTCGGGAGGTTGATAGAGAGAGGCGTAAAGAGACCCTGGTTCGAGTCTCGTAACAAAAACCCAAACTCTAAGCTTTAAAACAATCTCTATAACGTAATTTTCAAAACTTTTTTTTCTTCTTAACTAAGTCTATGATCAATCGATCATATAACGATAAAATTAGCTTGGGGTATTTATGCTTGTGAAGAATGCCTAAACTTCACTTTCCATCATTTTTTTATTCAAAATTCCTTTATTCCAATGATTTACTAATAATAATTTTGGTAAAATAAAACTTTAATTGTCATTTATTTTCGAAATTTTTATTAAATCAATAAAATTTAAAATTTTTTGGAACATAATTTCAGTTTTAATCTAAAAATTATTATTTTATTAACTTTTTGTTTACAAATTTTTATTAAAGATTCAATAGAAATTTTAAAAATAAAATGAGGAGAAAAAAATGAAAATGGACCAAAATAAAAGTTTAAAAAGTTTCACTCCTCGTCCGTACACAAACGTATGGTCAAATCAAGTGTAAAAATTATTCCCAAAATATTAATAAAAAAAATTAAAGTTTCCTTCTATTCTAAAAAAAATTAATATAATTTAAATAATATTTTTGAAAAATTAAAAATTAAAAAAAAATTTAAATAAAAGAAAAAAAGCACCCACAAAATGTAGTGGGATAAGAGCATTTCGAAGCTTAGTGGGTACAGAAAAAACTTTAATTTTAGATACCTAAATTTATATATATTTGACGAATAAATAGTTTAAACTTTTACCCATAGTGTGACGGGCGGTGTGTACAAGGCCCGGGAACGAATTCACCGCCGTATGGCTGACCGACGATTACTAGCGATTCCGGCTTCATGCAGGCGAGTTGCAGCCTACAATCCGAACTGAGGACAGGTTTTTTGAGTTAGCTCACCCTCGCGGGATCACGACTCTTTGTCCCGGCCATTGTAGCACGTGTGTCGCCCAGGGCATAAGGGGCATGATGACTTGACGTCATCCTCACCTTCCTCCGGCTTATCACCTCAACGGTTGGCAACTAAACACGAGGGTTGCGCTAAAGTAACAATTTATAATTTTTTTTATTTTCAGATATATAAAAAATATGAAATTAAAAATATTTAAGAGAAAAATGATATTCGAGCTATTTTATTTAAAATCTATGAATTTTGTATTAATTTGACAAAAAATTATTTTATTATAAAGATTTTACAATTGTATTCTATTAGCACAACATTAATTTAAATATATATAATAAAAATGAATTAAATAATAATTTTTTTTACTTAGTGTTTAAAATAAAAAATTTAAATCATATATGAAATAATTAGATAATATCATTAAAAAATGAATTTAATAATTATTTAAAATTAATTTAATAGTTATTTCAAATCCATCTTTTTATAACAAATCTACGTTTATAAATAAATAAATAAATAAATAAAAGGAAAGATTCTTTTTTCACTTTTCTAATTTGGAAGTTAAAATAAAAAATATATATATTTTTTATTTTGGTGCACCAACGAAAATGCTATTTTTTTTATTATAAATAATTGAAAATTTATTTATTTTATAGAGAATAAATAATTAAATGAACATAAAATTGGAGAGAATATGAACAAAAATTTAAAATCCCTTTTTAAGTATAAGAATCTAAAGATAATGTAAATAATAAAATTGTTTTTGCCATATATTTAAATATAATATTTTATATTAATATATACTTTTGATTTTGACTGAAAATATTGGATAGTTGGGATGAATATTCTATAAAATGGAAGACAACTCAAGAATAATCTTATCGCTCTAATTTCATTATTATTATTATTATTATTTTGAAAAAAAATAAATATTTTAAGTTAAAATTATATTTATTTATTTTATTATTATTATTATTATTATTATTTTTTTGTTAAATAGTACTTTCAGAAAATAATAATAATAATAATAACGTTAAATTAATACAAACTCGAAGTAACAATTTCAGTCACGTTATATTTATATGATTAACTTTTGAGTACGAGAAAATAAGTATAAACATATTATCGTTGCACCAATTTTCACTTTTTTTAAATAATGTAGACCGATTGGTGCAATTTTTTTTGGACCAATTCGAAATTTTGGATTAGTTAGGTTAGTGACTCGAGTACCTCGATAGAGTTTACAACAACCCAACCTCTATTTTCAGGTTGGGTTGAGTGGGTTGTATTTTTGTTTAATTATTTCAATTGCTTTAGTGGGAGCTGTACTCAGTATTAAAAACACGTCTATTCTTGGTTTCAATTTTTTTCGGGACCCGAATATTCAAATGCTTTTGCTCTTTCTTCTGATTGTCAGTCTTTTCTTTTTTAGAGAGTCAAGCAAAAACGAGAAATAGGAAATGCACCATCCTTGTTGCTCTTGAACCTGTCGGTAAAGCAATTCCATTGCCTCAACTTTGGCTATTTACCTTCAGACAAGGAGCAGTGCGGTTTCAACAACAAATCTTACTAATTCACAATACATGTTACCTTAATAATTAAAATTTTATAAAATTCAAATATCAAACATTTACAATAGAGTTATACACGCAAATATTCTTAAATTTAATAATAATATTAAAAGTAGGGTTCCGTTAAGTTGTAACCCTAATTTTAGGTTGGCTAGATTACGGACCAATAAAATATCAACCTACCCAAATTTTAGACTTTTAAAAAAATTCAACTCAATGGAATTTTTTTTATTTTTTTATTTTTTTTATTTATCTCAACTTAACCTTTATGATTTAGGTTAAATAGTCTGGGTGGGTCGGATTCTTAGGTCATATGAACACCCCTAATAACAACAACCAAAGCGTTGAGGGTTTTTTCCAACACATTTCTTTTTTTTTTTTTTTTTTAAAGATGATGCACCAAAACAAACATTTATAAGTATTTAAAAAATGATTTGAATAAATATTGATGGGCCGGGCTTTTTACGAACTATTGGGCCGAGAGGCATTTTATTCAGATGTTACTTTGGGCTTTGGTTTGTGGCCCATTGTGGTCCACATCAACCGGTCCAAAAACAACGTAACGAAGCAATTTAGAGAAGAAAAGGATTAAGGTCCCAAATTTCATGCCAAAACTGGAGATCAAAGTGAAAGCTTATTCCCTGTAATCTTCGTTGAGAGATTACAGAGGAATTTACAGAGACAGAGAGTAGGTAATTGTTGATGTTGTGTTTGCCATTGATGGGTGGAGATTGAGATTTGAAATTGAGATTGAGAATCTGGCTAGCCATTTCATTTTTGTTGGCAAATTCTAGCCAAGAAATCTGGCGAACCTTGGAGGATTGAGGGCTCGGTTGTCATTGAAGCATTCCGTTTCTGATCACAACGACGAGGAGGAGGAGTGCCGGCCTTGGCGTCGCAGGCTTTTTATGGCTTTCACATGGCGCTCCGCCCTCAAGATTACCTTCTTACTTATACTTGTTGCTGCTGCAGTGATTGCTTGTTTCACCCTCCCAAACGAGAAGGTATGAAATTGTTGTTTCCAAAAATTCTCACTACTGCATTCTTGTTCCTCCCTGATGATCTACTGCGCATTGATTTCTCTTAATTTTCCTTGATCTTGGATGTTTTTTTTTTTGATGTCGCACATCCATTTTTATTTCCAGCTGTTATTGAATTGTGTTTGAGTTTAACATTTGAGGTCTGGAATATCTAATCAAATCAATACTGCTATTGTTTTACGTATTTGTGTTTCAATGTTATAGTGTGTTTAGTTCGTGAAACTGATGAACTACTTGAAGTCTATTTGTTGGCTTTCGAGGCTGGAAGATTTATGACGAATTACTCGTTTCTGATATTTAATTTAATGTAATGTCATATGATTTGTATCGAATCGACCACATATTTGAAAACTTAACGCCGTTGCAGATTCTGAAGGACTTTTTACTATGGGTTGATCAAGATCTTGGCGCTTGGGGTCCGCTTGTGCTGTAAGTCGGTGTAGCTTAGTCCCTTGCGGAATCACTCAAGTTGCTTTTAAATTGTCTGTTCCATCGCTTTCCTTGTCCCTTACTTTTGGGGGTATATTGTCAGGTCTATTGCATACATTCCTTTGACAGTGCTGGCAATTCCTGCTTCAATACTAACGGTAAGCATCAACTGATCCTTCTTATACCTGGAAAATATATAATGTGCAAGGAAGAAGGCCACTGAGTTATCTTATTTATATGACCTTAGATGGTATGCCTTGTCTGTCTTTCAGCTTGGTGGTGGTTATCTATTTGGGTTACCTGTGGGCTTTGTTGCTGATTCCATTGGTGCAACTGTTGGGGCCGGGGCTGCTTTCCTTCTTGGACGAACTGTACTATTTGGACCCTTACGATTATCTTTTATCCATATCGATTTCGTGAACTTTAGTATTGCAATATTGAATTCTTATTGGGCAAGTTTATTATTTCGTTTGTATTTTTTAATTGCGCAATTATTAGACACAGATATACTGCTAGTTGGATCATCTTTTTTCTGGCACTCCTTACAGATTGGGAAGTCATTTGTTGTTTCCAAGCTGAAGGATTATCCGCAATTTCATTCGGTTGCAATTGCTATTAATCGGTCTGGATTTAAGGTTTGTCTATTTTGTTTACAATCACCGTATTTGTTTGTAAAACGGCGTTTGCATAAGCATATGGAGGAAGCTGTCATCTGCAAATTCGTATTCTTTCTTATCTTTTATGCAATCTTTAAAATCACATGTTTCTTCCTATAAATATTATAAAAAAAAAAAATAAAAAAAAAAAAGAAACTATCACTTGTTTCTTCTGTTTCATTGGAAAATAAATAAAAACTTGTATGTGTGGCTTTCAGTTTATTTTCTTCTTTATTTAATGTGAATGAGCAGCATTGGCTGTCTCTTGAATATCAATTCTTGTTTATGTCATACTTTTCATTGCACTAAAATTGCCTTGTATAAGTTGTAAAACTTTCATGGGATGTAATGAACGCTAGTTTTTCCCCCTTCCCTGTGAATATCATGTATCTATGGAAAAATGTTTTTCCCCTTGCATAACGTGACGAGGGAAGTATACTGATGAGTTGTAGATGTAACCGTAGTTTAAATTTTGAAATGCATTCCCAGAGAAAAGAGATGATTCCAGTACATTTATATTGTTAAACTTAAATATAC